GAAACCTCCTGCTGAGCCCTGTGGAAATGACATAGCAGCTTTATACACATCAGCATCCTGTAAGGTTAGAAGTTCTTTGCCTGCTGCAATGTCAGGGAGGTCAGTGTTGGTACTGGGAGCCCTGGGTGGATGTTTGTCCTTCAGAGCTTTGCGCCGTGCTTGCGTCCTTGGGAGCGATGGTATCCTCACTTATATATATATATATATATATATATATATATATATATATATAATATATATATATATATATATATATATATATTATATATATAATATAATATATATATATATATATATATATATATATATACATATATATATATATATATATATATATATATATATATGTATATATATATATATATATATAAATATATATATATATGTGTAAATTAATGATTTTATGCCAAAAGAACCTTAGGAAACTTACCTGACCTTATTATAACAAGCACAATTTAATTTAGCCTAATTGAACTAAATATATTTTATATAAGTTTACAATAATTTAATAATAAACAAACACAATGAAATATATATTTTTTCGTTAGGTTACGAATGATTTTTGTGGAATTATTGCATACACAAATTTTTGCTTGTCCTATTCGGCAAGAAGTGCATTGCTATTTAGGCAGAAATCGCAAGTTTTACTTATTCAGCACGACATATAGAGTAAGGACATGATTAGCAGGTATAGGACAGCAATAGGAGAATTAGGAAGAAGAGTGGGAGCCCTGTCATATGTGGCCTTTTGCCGAGGAGAAGAGTTGGAAATGAATGGTTGTCCAGGACAAACTGTGTCAATTGCTGGCTGGACAAACACTGTAAGTAAAAGCAATAACATTCATGGACAACTGGGATCTCCTCTATGGCAAAAATGACATGTATGCCAGGGAAAGGGTTCACATATCTAGGTTTGGGGTGGGAGCCCTGGCCAATGCAGTGGAGGGAGCTGTTAGGCCTTTAAATTAGAAATAGTTAGTGGTATGGGTTTTGGGGGGAAGCAATGAATTCTCAGTTTAGCGATAGTCTGAGTTTTGGGGAAACCAGTAATAGGTAGAATGAGGTAGAGTTATTAGTGTACATTGGAAAGCCAGTGGCGCTAGGTGATAAGGACAGTAACATGGATAGTGGAGGAGCAGAAATGAGCAGGAAGAGAAAAGAGAAGGAAGGGTTTCTAAATTTATATTATACTAACAGTTGTAGTGTTAGGAATAAGATAGACTAATTGAGATTAGTTGCAAGTGTGGGTAACATTGATGTATTTGCAATAATTGAAACATGGTTTAATATGAATGTCACATTCAGGGTTTTAAATTGTTCCAGGTAGACAGAAGTATCAGAAAGAGGGTGGCTTGGTACTCTATGTCCGAGATCGCTTGAATTGTTGCATGAAAACGGGTATAAAGTCTGAAATAACACATACTAAGTCTGTCTGGCTAGAAGTTTCATAGGGGCATGAAAAATTGATTTTAAGCATGATTTACCATCCCCCAAACTTGGATACGGACCAAGGAAGACTACTGTGGGAGGAAATTGTTAAGGCCACAAGGCTCGATAACGTTGCAATTCTAGGGAACTTTAATCATATTGATTGGAATTGCTTGACTGGGAGTTTAGAGTCTAACGACTTCTTAGGGGTAGTTCAGGAATGTTTTTTGAAACAGTTTGTTACAGAGCCTACAAGGAGAAAAACCTCTGTGATTTAGAAATTACAGAGGAACTCGGCACAAGCGACAACAAATCAATTACCTTTAGCATTGAATGGAAGTATGATAGTAGGGATAATTCAGTAACGGTCCCAGAGTTTCGCTTAGATTACAATGGGCTTAGAGAACACTTGTCATCTGTGGACTGGAGTAACGATGAGAGCTATCAATATGATAGTTTTCTGAACACTATACATGCTTCCCAAGGAACTTTTATTCCGTATAAAGAAATAAGATAGAATAGAAATGATTCAAAATGCAAGAATAATAGGCTCAAACACCTTTTTGGGTAGAAGAAAGGAATTTATAGGCTCATCAAAATCAATATATTCACTTTAAGAGGGAAGTTAAACAAGGGATAAGACAACAAATCGAAGCTATGAAGCTCAAGTTGCTAGGGATTCGAAAACTAATCCAAGAGGTTTTTTCTTCCAGGTTTATAGAACAAAAGTTAGAGATAAGATAGGCCTCCTTAAAAATAACTTTGGGCATCTCACTGACAAGGAGAATGAAATGTGCTCGATTTTTAATAATTATTTTCTCTCGGTTTCCACACAAAAATACACTAATAATATCCCAATAATTAACTTTTATAGTGGGCTTGAAGACGATAAATTATGTAAAATCACAGTCACTAGCGAAATGATTATCAAACAAATAGACCGACTGAAGCAAAATAAATCCCCGGGCCCTGATGAACTTTTTTCAAGGTTTCTTAAAGAGTGTAAAGTGAAACTTTGTGAATCACTGACTAATATTTTTAATATATCTATTTAAACAAGTGTATTGTCTGATATGTGGAAGATGGCCAATGTAATTCTTATTTTTAAAGCAGGGGACAAGTCGTTACCATGAAATTACCACCCAATAAGCCTGATCTCAATTGTAGGCAAATTGCTAGAGTCAATTACAGCTGATATTATAAGAAACCATCTTGATAAGCATAATTTGAATAATGTTACTCAGTATGGATTTACGAGGGGCCGTTCCTGCCTAACTAATTTATTAACTTTCTTCAGTAAAACTTTTGAGGCTGTTTATCACGATAAAGATTTCAACATTATTTATTTAGATTTTAGTAAGGCTTTTGATAGAGTACCGCACCAGAGACTGAGAAAGTGGCAGCTCATGGCATTGTGGGGAAAAGTGCTGTCATGGATCGAGTCATGGCTCTCCAATAGGAAGCAGAAAGTGTGCATAAATGGAGTAAAATCTGAGTGGAGATCTGTAATAAGTGGCGTTCCACAGGAATCAGTTTTAGGCCCATTGTTGTTTATAATATATATCAATGACCTTGACGAGGGAATTAATAGTGATATGAGCAAATTCGCTAATGACACGAAGATAGGTAGGATAATCGATTCAGACGTAGTTGTCACGGAACTTCAGGAGAATTTAGACAGACTCAGTTCGTGGTCAGAAAGGTGGCAGATGCAGTTCAACGTATAAAGTAAAAGGACACAAGTGCAACTAATGTGACTTTTTATTGTGGCAACGTTTCGCTCTCCAGGAGCTTTGTCAAGCTCCTGGAGAGCGAAACGTTGCCACAATAAAATGCCACATTAGTTGCACTTGTGTCCTTTTACTTTACATATTGTCGGTAATTCTACCAACATTATTACAGTTCAACGTAAACAAATGTAAAGTACTGTAGTTCGTGAATGTTCATAACCGTAGCACTTTAAGCTAAATAATGTAGAACTTAACCGTACAGAATGCGAAAAGAACTTGGGAGTTATGGTAAGCAGCAACCTTAACCAAGGCAGCAAGGCCTAAGCGTACGTAATAAGGCAAATAGATTACTGGGATTTATATCAAGAAGTGTAAGGAAAAGAATTCCAGCAGTTGTACTACATCATTAGTAAGGCCTCACCTAGATTATGCAGCTCAGTTCTGGTCTCCATATTACAGAATGGATATAAATTAGTTAGAAAATATTCAGCGAAGAATGAGTAAAGCATTAAAAATCTTCCATGTGAAGAAAGATTGAAGTCCCTTAAATTACATTCACTTGTAAGATGAAGAATGAAAGAAGACTTGATTGAAGTATATAAGTGGAAGATGGGTATTAACAAAGGGGATATAAATAGGGTATTTAGGTTGGATAAATGCATGAGTGAGAGAGGTTGGATTTGAATGGGACTTGTACATAAGTAAAATATATTTATCAAAGCTTTTTGCTTGATCATCGTCGAAAAGGCATTGGGCAAATATTCTGTTAGTGGGATGGATGTGTGTAAGACCAGCCTAGTATCGGCCAACAGGCCTGATTTGAGGGACTAAATCATGTTTGACTGGGATATACCAGCAAGATTTTAAACTTAATTAACAAATCATAATACTTATTGACACTGAGAACACTGTATCTTACCAATGGAACCCTAGGTGCCAGTTGTTTTTCCAGAAACTTAAAGATGTCGTCACTATCATCAGATGTCAGAAAACTGAATTCGAAGTCTGTAAAATCTCTCGGCATGGCGATCTTGGTGGCTGTGAAAATCACTACTCGTTACTGATTAGGAAAAAAATAACTCGATATCTCCTAAAATGTTAGTCATAGTGATTGATAATAATGAGGACTACCTTCATTAATGAAGAGGAACGTAAGTGCAGAAGATGCTTCTACTACCTTCATTAATGAAGAGGAACGTTAGTGCAGAAGATGCTTCTACTACCTTCATTAATGAAGAGGAACGTAAGTGCAGAAGATGCTTCTACTACTTCATTAATGAAGAGGAACGTAAGTGCAAGAAGATGCTTCTACTACCTTCATTAATGAAGAGGAACGTAAGTGCAGAAGATGCTTCTACTACCTTCATTAATGAAGAGGAACGTAAGTGCAGAAGATGCTTCTACTACCTTCATTAATGAAGAGGAACGTAAGTGCAGAAGATGCTTCTACTACCTTCATTAATGAAGAGGAACGTAAGTGCAGAAGATGCTTCTCCTGTGATAACAATTTTCTCATTGTAGAGTTTTATATACAGTGGCTGCAAAAAAATCTATACATTAAAAATTTTTGGACAATGAAACGAAAAAAATGTAACTTAATGTATGCACATATATTTTATTTTCACTTTTTAGCATCTAGCTAGTACTTGGCCATGTTACCAATGTTCTTTATCACCATCTGAAGTCGCTTGGGCATCGAAGTGGCGAGGGTGGAGAAGAGGGTGACGTCCATGTTGATCCAAAGCTTCTTTAGTGCATCCTTCAGGTCCGTGATGTTGGTGGATCAAAGCTTTTGCAATCTCATTTTTCATGACATGCCAGGCATTCTCGATAAAATTTAGGTCAGAGGAATTGCCTGGCCACTTCCCACTTCAGGATATTGTCTGTGCCAAGAGAAGTCTTTTTGGGGACCCCAGACCCCACTTTTCTAGGTGGTACGGTGCCAGGTGGGAGTGAGGCAGCTGCTTTCTTGAGGTTGTAAATTGCCATCCTGGTAACCTTCAGGTCTGTGGCTATGGATATCACAGACATGCCATGCTCTAATAGGGTGAGTGCACGAGTCAGTCTTCCCTACAATAGAAAGTTTAGTTCGACAAATTCTGACCACATAGAGCAGAGATATAGCGTGACGAAGTTCGATGTCGAGTGAAAAAATGGGCATTGAGTAACAATGTAGCAATCCTCCTTCCTCATCGAGCTCTGGAAAATCACTTAAGTGTAGGGTAGTGAGGAACATTGGAGCAAGATGGGCTCCACTACACTAAGCCATCACAAGCTCCACCCACTTTTTTTATGCTGAAATTCAAGTGAAATGTATACACCAAAATCTAACATATAGATTTTTTTTGCGTTGGAAATGTGTTTTTTTTTTTTTTTGCGACCACTGTATATCGGATATATCAGATCATTATTTAATTGTAGCTACAATTAGAGTAAAAGGTAGATGGGACAAAAGGAAAATGGCAATAATAAACAAGAGAAAGGTAAAAGTTGATGAAATAAGTTGATGGAAATAAGTCACTCTGTCTGACTTTTTTGGGTTATCCCAGGTTCTCTACACATATGCTGCTATGTATGATAATTCTATGTAACTGTATTTGTGTATACCTGAATAAACTTACTTACTTACTTACTTACTAACTCAAAGAGGAGAAAGTTAGGGTGAGGTATAAGCAACTATTGTCAGAAAGGTGGGCTAGTGCAAGTATGGGAAGTGGGGGGGTTGAAGATGGATGGGATAGTTTTAGAAATGCAGTGTTAGAATGTTGAATAGAAGTTGTCGCTATAGGAGGGTGGGTGCAGGAGGAAAGAGGAGTGATTGGTAGAATGATGATTTCGTAGCAACTCGTACCAGCATAGCTCAAAGTGTTTATAGAAGAATCCGTGAAACACTTCATAAATCAACAGCAGAATTTACTAGAGTAACTAATAGCCGTGCTAAGCCATCAAAAGTTAAAGTAGGTTCGAGAGTAATGCTGACTAATTTCAACAAAACATCTGCAATGCCTAAGCTCCATCAAAAGTTTGTCGGACCTTATCGAGTAGTCGAACATATCACTGGCAATAAGTATAAGGGTAGAGAAATTAGTACTGGTACATAAGAACATAAGAACATAAGAAAGGAGGAACACTGCAGGAGGCCTGCTGGCCCATACTAGGCAGGTCCTTTACAATTCATCCCACTAACAAAACATTTGCCCAACCCAATTTTCAATGCCACCCAAGAAATAAGCTCTGATGTGAAAGTCCCACTCAAATCCAACCCCTCCCACTCATGTACTTATCCAACCTAGATTTGAAACTACCCAAAGTCCTAGCCTCAATAACCCAACTAGGTAGACTGTTCCACTCATCAACTACCCTATTTCCAAACCAATACTTTCCTATGTCCTTTCTAAATCTAAACTTATCTAATTTAAATCCATTACTGCGCGTTCTCTCTTGGAGAGACATCCTCAAGACCTTATTAATATCCCCTTTATTAATACCTATCTTCCACTTATACACTTCGATCAGGTCTCCCCTCATTCTTCGTCTAACAAGTGAATGTAACTTAAGAGTCTTCAATCTTTCTTCATAAGGAAGATTTCTGGAAATATAAACACAAATGCAGTATAATGTGATCCTTTATTGACAACGTTTCACCCACACAGTGGGCTTTCTCAAGTCACACACGGATCTACCTGGGGTTGGAAGGTACGAGAGTATTTATAGTCAGAATGTTGTTAGGTAAGACACATATGCAACAGTTAGACAACTTTATTCCGAAACGTTTCGCCTACACAGTAGGCTTCTTCAGTCGAATACAGAAAGTAGGCAGGAACAGTAGAGATGTGAAGACGATGTAATCAGTCCATCACCCTTAAAGTCGTAGAATTTGAGGTTGTCAGTCCCTCGGCCTGGAGAAGTTCAGTTCCATAGTCAGGAACTATCTTCAGATAGTTCCTGACTATGGAACTGAACTTCTCCAGGCCGAGGGACTGACAACCTCAAATTCTACGACTTTAAGGGTGATGGACTGATTACATCGTCTTCACATCTCTACTGTTCCTGCCTACTTTCTGTATTCGACTGAAGAAGCCTACTGTGTAGGCGAAACGTTTCGGAATAAAGTTGTCTAACTGTTGCATATGTGTCTTACCTAACAACCTGTCGGTATTGTATACCATTTTGATATAGTCAGAATGTTGAGGTCAGGTGAAGAATGCTGCATCTGATGATCTACCGGGTGGGGTTATAGAGTCTTGGGTAGCTTGGCAGGGGTATTGGACAAGTTGTAGACCTTCTGCAGTGTTCTATGTTCTTAAGTGGGATAGCGATGAAGAAGTTTCTTGGCGAGTGGTTCAGCTATGTTATAGAAGCCATTGTTCTGGTTGAAATTGTTGGTTATAGAGATAAGCGATGATTCCAGGATTCTTCTGTATTGAGTGTTGTCTTCTGTGGCTATAAGTCTTGAGTTTCTGTAGTTAATTATATTTCCATTGTGTCGGTATTTTATACCATTTATTACCAAGGAAGATTTCTGATGCTATGTATTAATTTAGTCATCCTACGCTGAATGTTTTCTAACGAATTTATGTCCATTTTGTAATACGGAGACCAGAACTGAGCTGCATAATCTAGGTGAGGCCTTACTAATGATGTATAAAGCTGCAGTATGACCTCTGGACTTCTGTTGCTTACACTTCTTGATATAAATCCCAGTAATCTATTTGCCTTATTACGTACGCTTAGGCATTGCTGTCTTGGTTTAAGGTTGCTGCTCACCATAACCCCCAAGTCCTTTTCGCAATCTGTATTGCTAAGTTCTACATCATTTAATTTATAAGTACTAGGGTTATGGGCACTCCCAAGCTTCAGAACCTTGCATTTATCTACATTGAACTGCATCTGCCACTTTTCTGACCAAGAATAGAGTTTGTTTAAATCCTCCTGAAGTTCCCTAACATCTACGTTTGAATCAATTATCCTACCTATCTTTGTGTCATCGGCGAATTTGCTCATATCACTAGTAATTCCCTCATCAAGATCATTGATATATATTATAAACAACAACGGGCCCAAGACTGATCCCTGTGGAACGCCACTTGTTACAGATCCCCACTCGGATTTAACCCCATTTATGGACACTCTCTGCTTCCTGTCAGTGAGCCATGACTCGATCCACGAGAGCACTTTTCCCCCAATGCCATGAGCTGCCACTTTCTTTAACAGTCTATGGTGCGGAACTCTATCAAAAGCCTTACTAAAATCTAAGTAAATAATATCAAATTCTTTATTGTGGTCAACAGCCTCAAAAGCTTTACTGAAGAAAGTTAATAAATTAGTTAGACAAGACCGGCCTCTTGTGAATCCATGCTGAGTATCATTAATCAAGCTATGCTTATCGAGATGGCTTCTTATAATCTCAGCTATAACTGACTCTAGTAATTTGCCTACAATTGAGGTCAGGCTTATTGGGCGGTAATTTGACGGTAACGACTTGTCCCCTGTTTTAAAAATAGGAGTTACATTAGCCATCTTCCACATATCAGACACTACACCTGTTTGAAGAGATAAATTAAAAATATTAGTTAATGGTTCACAGAGTTCCATTTTGCATTCCTTAAGAACCCTTGAAAAAACCTCATCAGGACCCGGCGACTTATTTTGCTTCAGTCTGTCTATCTGCCTCACAACCATCTCACTAGTGACTGTGATGTTACATAATTTATCTTGTGTGATGAATGGTTTGAAAAACCGACAAGTTGAAGATTGAGACACTTATGCAGCATATGGGAATCTTTATTCAGGAAACATTTCGCCACACAGTGGCTTCATCAGTCCAATACAAAGAGGAAGGCGTAAGGAGAGGAGGAGTATGAGGTAATCAGTCCCTCAGCCTGGAGTCGAAGTGTTCAGTCCATCAATCTTGTAGAGTGTACAGCATAGGGCCGTAGACGTGGCTTATATACTGTAGTGAGGTGACTTGAAGCAGACGGAGGCGGGATCATAGTGGTATCATCCACTAGTCGAAGTAGGTCTTTGTCCAAAGGTTGAACAAGCTGAGGGACTGATTACCTCATACTCCTCCTCTCCTTACGCCTTCCTCTTTGTATTGGACTGATGAAGCCACTGTGTGGCGAAACGTTTCCTGAATAAAGATTCCCATATGCTGCATAAGTGTCTCAATCTTCATAATTTATCTTCTAGCCCACTGTAAAAATTAATTACTGGGATATTGTTAGTGTCTTCCTGTGTAAAAACTGAGAGAAAATAATTATTTAAAATCAAGCACATTTCATTCTCATTGTCAGTAAGGTGCCCATAGTTATTTTTAAGGGGACCTATCTTATCTCTAACTTTTGTTCTATAGACCTGGAAAAAACTTTTTGGGTTAGTTTTAGAATCCCTAGCAACTTTAATTTCATAGTCCCTTTTAGCTTTTCTTATCCCCTTTTTAATGTCCCTCTTAATGTCAATATACTGATTCATAAGATGACCCTCACCTCTTTTGATACGCCTATAAATTCCTTTCTTATGCCCTAGTAGATATTTGAGCCTATTTTCATCCATTTTGGGTCATTTCTATTTGATCTAATTTCTTTATATGGGATAAACGCTCTTTGAGCAGCATGTAAAGTGTTCAGAAAACTGTCATATTGATAGCTCTCTTCGTTACCCCAGTCAACAGATGATAAGTGTTCTCTAAGCCCATCGTAATCTGCTAAGCGAAAATCTGGGACTGTTACTGAGTTATCGCTACTATCGTACTTCCATTCAATGCTAAATGTAATTGATTTGTGGTCGCTAGCACCCAGTTCCTCTGAAATTTCTAAATTATTAACAAGGGGATTCATTGTTTGCCATAAACTAAGTCAAGCAGGTTATTTCCCCTTGTAGGTTCTGTCACAAACTGCTTCAAAAAAACAATCCTGAAATACTTCTAAGAAGTCGTACGATTCTAAATTCCCAGTCAAGAAATTCCAATCAATATGACTAAAGTTAAAGTCTCCTAGAATTACTACATTATCGTGCCTTGTGGCCTTAACAATTTCCTCCCATAGTAGTTTCCCTTGGTCCCTATCTAA